ATTTTTTTTTGTTCATTCTATAATAAAAAAAAAACACAGAAAGAAAGCTTTATTTGTGTAAAAAAGAAAAAAAGACAAAAAATGTTGTTTGAGTACAGCGTTGCATGACCGCGCAATTACCAGGTAAATTAGCGCAGTGCTGAATAACATAAAAATGGCCCGGTCATGAAAGGGGGGGGGGGGGGGGGGGGGGATATCTTCCGGAGCTGAAGTGGTGAACGCATCAAATTCAAACTACTAACACTGACATACAAAGCCATTCACAACACTGCCCCAAACTACCTCACCGACCTGATACCCAAATACCACCCAACCCGTAATCTTCGCTCCTCACAAGACCTCCTACTTTCTAGCTCCCTGGTCTCCTCCTCCTCCCACGCCCGACTGCAGGACTTCTCCAGGACTTCCCCCATCCTCTGGAACTCACTACCCCAATCCATCAGGCTGTCACCTACCCTCCTCACCTTTAGGCGCACCCTGAAAACCCATCTCTTCAGGGAAGCCTACCCCACCCTCACCTAACTGCCGATCTCCTCCTACCACTCCATCCCCCACAGCCAATTCCTATTGTACCACTACCCCCTCCCTCCTTGATTGTAAGCTCCAAGGATCAGGGCTCTCGAACCCCTCGTGTATTGTATTGTTACTGTATTGTCTCATGTTCTGTCCCCCACTATAACGCACAGTGCTGAGCAAACCTTTCTGGCGCTATATAAATCCTGTATAATAATAATAATATATAAATCCTGTATAATAATAATAATAATAATATATAAATCCTGTATAATAATAATATATAAATCCTGTATAAAATATATAAATCCTGTATAATAATAATAATAAATAAATCCTGTATAATAATAATAATATATAAATCCTGTATAATAATAATAATAATAATAATAATATATAAATCCTGTATAATAGTAATATATAAATCCTGTATAAAATATATAAATCCTGTATAATAATAATAATATATAAATGCTGTATAATAATAATAATATATAAATCCTGTATAATAATAATATATATAAATCCTGTATAATAATAATATATAAATCCTGTATAATAATAATAATAATATATAAATCCTGTATAATAATAATAATATATATAAATCCTGTATAAAATATATAAATCCTGTATAATAATAATAATAATATATAAATCCTGTATAATAATAATAATATATAAATCCTGTATAATAATAATATATAAATCCTGTATAATAATAATAATAATATATAAATCCTGTATAATAATAATAATATATAAATCCTGTATATAAAATATATAAATCCTGTATAATAATAATAATATATAAATCCTGTATAATAATAATATATAAATCCTGTATAATAATAATAATAATATATAAATCCTGTATAATAATAATAATATATAAATCCTGTATAATAATAATATATAAATCCTGTATAATAATAATAATAATATATAAATCCTGTATAATAATAACATATAAATCCTGTATAATAATAATATATAAATCCTGTATAATAATAATAATATATAAATCCTGTATAATAGTAATATATAAATCCTGTATAATAATAATAATATATAAATCCTGTATAATAATAATAATATATAAATCCTGTATAATAATAATATATAAATCCTGTATAATAATAATAATATATAAATCCTGTATAATAGTAATATATAAATCCTGTATAATAATAATAATATATAAATCCTGTATAATAATAATAATATATAAATCCTGTATAATAATAATAATAATAATAATATATAAATCCTGTATAATAATAAATAATATATAAATCCTGTATAAAATATATAAATCCTGTATAATAATAATAATATATAAATCCTGTATAATAATAATAATAATATATAAATCCTGTATAATAATAATAATATATAAATCCTGTATAAAATATATAAATCCTGTATAATAATAATAATATATAAATCCTGTATAATAATAATATATAAATCCTGTATAATAATAATAATATATAAATCCTGTATAATAAATAATAATATATAAATCCTGTATAATAATAATAATATATAAATCCTGTATAATAATAATATATAAATCCTGTATAATAATAATAATAATAATATATAAATCCTGTATAATAATAACATATAAATCCTGTATAATAATAATATATAAATCCTGTATAATAATAATATATAAATCCTGTATAATAATAAAAATATATAAATCCTGTATTATAATAATAATAATAATATAAATCCTGTATAATAATAATAATATCCTGTAAATCCTGTATAAAATAATAATAATAATAATATAAAATCCTGTATAATAATAATAATATAAATCCTGTATAATAATAATAATATATAAATCCTGAATAATAATAATAATAATATAAATCCTGTATAATAATAATATATAAATCCTGTATAATAATAATAATATAAATCCTGTATAATAATAATAATATATAAATCCTGTATAATAATAATATATAAATCCTGTATAATAATAATATATAAATCCTGTAATAATAATAATAATAATAATATATAAATCCTGTATAATAGTAATATATAAATCCTGTATAATAATAATAATATATAAATCCTGTATAATAATAATAATAATAATAATAATATATAAATCCTGTATAATAATAATAATAATATAAATCCTGTATAATAATAATATATAAATCCTGTATATAAAATATATAAATCCTGTATAATAATAATATATAAATCCTGTATAATAATAACATATAAATCCTGTATAATAATAATATATAAATCCTGTATAATAATAATAATATATAAAATCCTGTATAATAATAATAATAATATATAAATCCTGTATAATAATAATAATATAAATCCTGTATAATAATAATAATATATAAATCCTGAATAATAATAATAATAATATAAATCCTGTATAATAATAATAATATATAAATCCTGTATAAAATAATAATAATATAAATCCTGAATAATAATAATAATATATAAATCTTGTATTATAATAATAATTATAGTTACTAAAAATAATACTTCATTATATATATATAATTATCACGTTCTGATGATCCAGCTTCCTGTTCATGACTCCAAATACAAAACTCTAACTTAAAGGGCAAAATGTACTTTTTCGTTTTTTTTAAATGATCCTGAAAATGAAAAGTAGAAAAAAAAAAGTAAAAAAAATAAAAAGTAAAAAAAAAAAAAAAAAATCTGCCAAGCAGCAAACAAAACATGTCCTAATTCATCAAATGAGAACAGAATTACAGTGTAGTTTGCCTGCGCACAGAACACAGAACCCCCCAGCGGCGGGCGGTGGGGTGGGGGGGCTGCTTTTGGATTCCGGGAATTTCATCTCGTCTCCGGCTTTGCAGCCATTTCCAACATAATGATAAATTGTCTTTCATTTTCTGAGACCAATTTACCTGAAAAAAAAAAATCATTGCTAAACGGCGTTGTTTTGCTGCGGCCCCCCCGCAGTTGGCGCTCGAGTAATGCATTTTAAATGTGCCCGGCGGGAACATCGACTTCTGCGACCGTGCCAAGACACCTTGGCTGGGGACTCTGTACACCCAGTTTTTTTTCGCCCACCTTTTTGTTTTTACATTCTGGCACCTGGCCTGGAAGCATTACCCCCCCCCCCCCCCCCCATAATTGACAGGTCTACAGGCAGGGCACAACTCAATGGCGCCACCTAGTAACCATACGACAGCACTGCATTTTATGTAAAGGTGTTCGGTTCCTTAGGTTCTAAACAGACTTTGCTGCACCAAATCTGGTGCAGAATCTGCATAGAAACCAATCAGCTTCCAGGTTTTATTGCCAAAGCTTCAATGAATAAGCTGTTAGAAGCCGATTGGCTCCCACGCACAGCTGCACCAGATTTTGCACTCCCAAATTTTAGTAAATCAACTCCCCTGAATCAGTTGGAGGGCTTCTGGATTCTTTTACTCCATTCTCACCCTAATCTGTATGGTTTCCCCCACCTTGGTCCACCAGGGTACCATGATAGCCTAAAGTTCCTCCAGAAGTAGTTAGGGGTTCCGTGAGAAATTTCTGACAGCAATCTTTTTAGCAATCTGTAAAGGGGGATTCCCACTGACCCCCAATTTAAGGGACATTCTTCCCACTGACCCCCAATGTAAGGGACATTCTTCCCACTGACCCCCAATGTAAGGGACATTCTTCCCACTGACCCCAATGTAAGGGACATTCTTCCCACTGACCACCAATGTAAGGGACATTCTTCCCACTGATCACCAATGTAAGGGACATTCTTCCCACTGACCCCCAATGTAAGGGACATTCTTCCCACTGATCACCAATGTAAGGGACATTCTTCCCACTGACCACCAATGTAAGGGACATTCTTCCCACTGATCACCAATGTAAGGGACATTCTTCCCACCGACCCCCAATGTAAGGGACATTCTTCCCACTGACCCCCAATGTAAGGACATTCTTCCCACTGACCCCCAATGTAAGGGACATTCTTCCCACTGACCACCAATGTAAGGGACATTCTTCCACTGATCACCAATGTAAGGAACATTCTTCCCACCGACCCCCAATGTAAGGGACATTCTTCCCACTGACCCCCAATGTAATGGACATTCTTCCCACTGACCACCAATGTAAGGGACATTCTTCCCACTGATCACCAATGTAAGGAACATTCTTCCCACCGACCCCCAATGTAAGGGACATTCTTCCCACTGACCCCCAATGTAAGGGACATTCTTCCCACTGACCACCCCCAATGTAAGGGACATTCTTCCCACTGACCACCAATGTAAGGGACATTCTTCCCACTGACCCACCAATGTAAGGGACATTCTTCCCACTGACCACCAATGTAAGGACATTCTTCCCACTGACCCCCAATGTAAGGGACATTCTTCCCACTGACCCCCAATGTAAGGGACATTCTTCCCACTGACCCCCAATGTAAGGGACATTTCCCACTTCCCACTGACCCCCAATGTAAGGGACATTCTTCCCACTGACCCCCAATGTAAGGGACATTCTTCCCACTGACCCCCAATGTAAGGGACATTCTTCCCACTGACCACCAATGTAAGGGACATTCTTCCCACTGACCACCAATGTAAGGGACATTCTTCCCACTGACCCCCAATGTAAGGGACATTCTTCCCACTGATCACCAATGTAAGGGACATTCTTCCCACCGACCCCCAATGTAAGGGACATTCTTCCCACTGACCCCCAATGTAAGGGACATTCTTCCCACTGACCCCAATGTAATGGACATTCTTCCCACTGACCACCAATGTAAGGGACATTCTTCCCACCGACCCCCAATGTAAGGGACATTCTTCCCACTGACCCCCAATGTAAGGGACATTCTTCCCACTGACCACCAATGTAAGGGACATTCTTCCCACTGACCCCCAATGTAAGGGACATTCTTCCCACTGACCCCCAATGTAAGGGACATTCTTCCCACTGACCCCCAATGTAAGGGACATTCTTCCCACTGACCCCCAATGTAAGGGACATTGTTCCCCACTAAGGGATTCTTCCCCCCCAATGTAAGGGACATTCTTCCCCACTGACCCCCCAATGTAAGGGACATTCTTCCCACTGACCCCCCAATGTAAGGGACATTCTTCCCACTGACCCCCAATGTAAGGGACATTCTTCCCACTGACCCTCCAATGTAAGGGACATTCTTCCCACTGACCCCCAATGTAAGGAACATTCATTCTTCCCACTGATCACCAATGTAAGGGACATTCTTCCCACTGACTGACCCCCAATGTAAGGGACATTCTTCCCACTGACCACCAATGTAAGGGACATTCTTCCCACCGACCCCCCAATGTAAGGGACATTCTTCCCACTGACCCCAATGTAAGGGACATTCTTCCCACTGATCACCAATGTAAGGGACATTCTTCCCACTGACCCCCAATGTAAGGGACATTCTTCCCACTGACCCCCAATGTAAGGGACATTCTTCCCACTGACCCCCAATGTAAGGGACATTCTCCTCACTGACCCCCAATGTAAGGGACATTGTTCCCACTGACCCCCCAATGTAAGGGACATTCTTCCCACTGACCTCCAATATTCACCAGGTAATCCTACCTGTAACACACTTCCTGTCCCAGGGTGAGGCAGAGCAGTGTTTGTCACCCTAAGACAAGACTACAGAACACCTCCCCCTCCTCTCCATAACATAGGGAGAGCTGGGTACAATGTAACTGATAGGAGGCAGCACAGGAAGTTATCTGCTGACAAGATTTCTGGCAGGATCAACTAAGGTTTTTTTTTCTATCAAAATGCCCTTTGACGGTGAAATACTGACCCCCAAAAAAAAAAAAAAAGCAAAAAAAGACAGTTGGAGTGTACATATACAATCTTTATTTGCTTTTGGTAAAAGTTGCTTTAAGCGGTTTGGCGCTGCTCCTCACAGTGATGGCCATACAAAATGGCAGCAAGGTCAGCATTTGTCATATCTGTACGGAACGACAATATCAGATGACGAGAGTCCTCCGTGTCTAGAACCCGTGATATGAACAGCTGCGGACTGGTCAGTACTCACCGATAACTAGGGATGCACTGAAACAGATCAGCCAAAAAACAAAATGCCGATAGGAAAAAAAGTGCCAATACATGCAAAGTTGCGTCTCATAGACTATCATGCAAAAACGCCCCCTAGTGACTTCAGTGCAAAATTGCATCTCATAGACTTGCATGCAAAGTCGTGTCCTCATTGAATGCAAAAACACCCTCTAGAGACTTCATAGCAAAATCCTGTCTCATAGGCTTGCGTGCAAATTTGCGTCCTCATTGACTTCAATGCAAAAACGCCCCCTAGAGACTTCAATGCAAAATTGCATCTCATAGACTTGCATGCAAAGTAGCGTTCTCATTGACTTCAATGCAAAAACGCCCCCTAATGACTTGAATGCAATATCACGTCTCATAGATTTGCATACAAAGTCGCGTCCTCATTCACTTCAATGTCTAGTGACTGCATAGAAAAATCTGTCTCATAGACCTGCATGCAAATTTGCGTCCTCATTGACTTCAATGCAAAAATGCCCCCCTAGTGACTTTAATGCAAAATTGGCAGCCACATTAATTTAAAAAAACAATTTTTTAAAAACTGTCTGTCTCGGTTCTCGGTTTTTTTGTGCATCCGGAATTTTCGGTTTCGGCACCAGAACTTTCATTTCGGTGCACCACTACCGACGCCGGCTGATCTGTTCAGCACCAGCTCAGGGCTGTTGAGGACTTCAATCTACCAGAACACATTGTTCCCTTTCATTCCCGGTTCCATCTTTGGAAGCTGAATGGCTCGCAGCACCTCCAGTCTCTGCACAGCAGCGCGCGGAGGGGGCGGAGCCACGCTGCGACTCTTCAGTGACGTCACCTGGATCTGCCGCCTTTTAGTTGGGTCCTTCATCTTCATAAGCGATGGCGATTCCTCGGCGTCCCTCCACAGCTTTCACCACCGGGGTCTGACCCAGAGACTTGTCCAATCCCTGCCAACTCCGGGAGGACAGGAACGAGGCTGGGGGAGGGGGGGGACAAGAGCAGGAATTGAAGAGGACCTGTCAGCATGACTAAATCACAGATCTGAATTAAATAAAAGGAATCTTTCTCGCCATGTAAAACATTCTCATCACAAACTCGTTTTTATCTGACCTATAGGATTCATCAGCCTAGATGGACTTCAACTTAAAGGATACATCCACTTCTTAAAAAAAAACAATTATTATTATTTCTATTATATATATATATTTATTATTATAATTTTTTTTTTAAGAAGTAAAAATAAATGCAAAAAATGTTTTTATATATATATATATATATATATATATATATATATATATATATATTTTTTTTTTTTTTTTTTTTTTTTTAGGGCAGGACAGCTGTCAGCAACACATCCAATATCATCACACTGATTGGAGTCAAGGTTGGCTCACTCCTGGCTCCATTAGCTCTGGGAGAAGTCATTAAGCCAGGGCCTCACATACTTTTTCCTCCCTGCACTGTGAATGTTTACATGTTATGTGCAATGAAACCATGGCAACATCTAATGTTTGTGTAGTATTATGTTCAGCAGACTGTGTTCTTCTATTGTTGTGACTTAGATGACGTTCAGAGCACATTTTATGCCCAATTCATGCAAAACTCCACGTAATCCCAAGGGGTTCACATACTTTTTCTTGCAACTGTATCATATGTTTGGGGGTTCTGAGTAATTTTTTTTTTTTTAGCAAGTAACTGATGATTTGCACATGCAGGAGAAAAGCGCCAGATTTGGCCTGGGTGGGAAGTAGTTAAAATCCCCGCAATGTACATAGATCACCCTGAGGGAAAAGTGCTTTTTGTCAACAAAAGTGGAGTTGCACTTTAAATCCCCAAATCCCCCAACGAACCGCCAGGACCACGCGCTGTCACAAATTTCCACGCCTATGGCAAAGATAAGTGACGGCTCTCCTACCGGCTGGTCCGAGCTCTGCCAGGGCGGTCTCCGCGTTCCTCTGCGCCAGGGCCGTCCCCATCGCCTTCTCTCCAGAGGTCTCTGTGCTTGAAAAGCGAACGGATCTCAAGTCCCCGTGATCAGAGAGATGTCGGTTCGGTCCGCGTCCTCGGGGTCAAGATCTGGGAACGGTACGTGTGCTGATCCACCTGCAACATAAACCCCGAGACTGTGAGAATTTGGGGACATCGGATGATGAAAAGCTCCTAATACTGTAATTCCACCAATAGAGTCATTCCACCCAAGAATGTCAACTACCATAGAGCACTATGACTGGCCATTCCAGAGTATGCCTGGTAAACATTTTCCAGCACGGTGGTCATTTTTTGGAGACCAGGCTTGTAATCCTCACACTTATAATGGACTTCTTTTACCCCTTCCAGTCCGGACGCTTTCCCCCCCCTTCCAGTCCGGACGCTTTCCCCCCCTTCCAGTCCGGACACGCTTTCACCCCCTTCCAGTCCGGACACTTTCACCCCCTTCCAGTCCGGACACTTTCACCCCCTTCCAGTCCGGACACTTTCACCCCCTTCCAGTCCGGACGCTTTCCCCCCCCCTTCCAGTCCGGACGCTTTCCCCCCCTTCCAGTCCGGACGCTTTCCCCCCCCTTCCAGTCCGGACGCTTTCCCCCCCTTCCAGTCCGGACGCTTTCCCCCCCCTTCCAGTCCGGACGCTTTCCCCCCCCTTCCAGTCCGGACGCTTTCCCCCCCCTTCCAGTCCGGACACTTTTCCCCCCTTCCAGTCCGGACACTTTCCCCCCCTTCCAGTCCGGACACTTTCACCCCCCTTCCAGTCCGGACACTTTCACCCCCTTCCAGTCCGGACACTTTCACCCCCTTCCAGTCCGGACACTTTCACCCCCTTCCAGTCCGGACACTTTCCCCCCCCTTCCAGTCCGGACACTTTCACCCCCCCTTCCAGTCCGGACACTTTCACCCCCCTTCCAGTCCGGACACTTTCACTCCCCCCCTTCCAGTCCGGACACTTTCACCCCCCTTCCAGTCCGGACACTTTCCCCCCCTTCCAGTCCGGACACTTTCCCCCCTTCCAGTCCGGACACTTTCACCCCCCTTCCAGTCCGGACACTTTCACCCCCTTCCAGTCCGGACACTTTCCCCCCCTTCCAGTCCGGACACTTTCCACCCCCTTCCAGTCCGGACACTTTCCCCCCCCCTTCCAGTCCGGACACTTTCCCCCCCCCCTTCCAGTCCGGACACTTTCCCCCCCTTCCAGTCCGGACACTTTCCCCCCCTTCCAGTCCGGACACTTTCCCCCCCCCCCCCCCAGTCCGGACACTTTTTCAGCTTTCAGCGCTATCACACTTTGAATGACAATTACGCGGTCATGCAACACTCCCCCACCCATATGAAATTTTCAGCATTTTTTTGAGACAGATAAAGCTTTATTTTGGTGGTATTTATTCACCGCTGGGATTTTTATTTTTTTTGCTAGTATAAATAACTTTAAAAAAAATTTTAAAAAAGTTTTTCTTATAAAAGTTTGCAAATAAATAATTTTCATCATAAATCTTGGCCAAAATGTATTCAGTTATCTTTTTAGGACAAAAAAAAAAGTGACACTGTACTACATGTGGGGGGTGATGAAGATTTATTTTTTTTTTTTTACACTGATTGCTTTTACACCCATAAAGGATATAAAAGCAATAATTTCTCTTTCTCTGTGTGTGCATTCCTGCAGCCACAGTGTGAGCTGTGATTGGTCACAGCTTGTCACATGGTACAAGGCTGTTGTGAATAGCCCTGTACCAGTGTGACCTCTGTGATCATTCACAGATTTCACACGTAGTAAGCAATGACGTCAGAAGTGACATCATTTGCTTACTACTGTATATGTGATCAATGATTGGCTAGTCAGTGATCACATGATTGGGACCTCGCACAGAGGTCCCCTATGACAACTGGTGTTCCACTGTGTCCTCCAGACACAGCGGGGGATTCGGATCGCGGTGCCGCACGCTCCCAGGGAGTGCGCAGAGTCCAAAATGGCAGTGCCATTTATGAATGGCAACCCGCCCCTGCACTGCCACCGTCTGGCCGTTTATATACACGGGCCGGACGGGAAGTGGTTAAACTGTAACTCCTGACAAATCAGAGATGTTTACTACAACTATTTACAATCTCGGAAATCAATAAAAGCCTTTTAAAGGATAAGTTCACCATTTGGAGCATGTCACGCGTTACTCCTGCAACGCCACCACGTCAGATGGCTGGGTGGTCAGTCCAATAAGCAGGCTAAAGGTGGCGCTACAGCTTACACTCTATTAGGGTATAAGGGGGGATACAGGAGGTAGAAGAGCTTACACTCTATTAGGGTATGGGAGGATACAGGAGGTAGAAGAGCTTACAATCTATTAGGGTATACGGGAAGATACAGGAGGTAGAAGAGCTTACACTCTATTAGGGTATACAGGAGGATACAGGAGGTAGAAGAGCTTACAATCTATTAGGGTATACAGGAGGATACAGGAGGTAGAAGAGCTTACAATCTATTAGGGTATAAGGGAGGATACAGGAGGTAGAAGAGCTTACACTCTATTAGGGTATAAGGGAGGATACAGGAGGTAGAAGAGCTTACACTCTATTAGGGTATAAGGGGGGATACAGGAGTAGTTTAGCTTACAATCTATTAGGGTATAAGGGGGGATACAGGAGGTAGAAGAGCTTACACTCTATTAGGGTATAAGGGAAGATACAGGAGGTAGAAGAGCTTACACTCTATTAGGGTATAAGGGAGGATACAGGGAGGTAGAAGAGCTTACAATCTATTAGGGTATAAGGGAGGATACAGGAGGTAGAAGAGCTTACACTCTATTAGGATATAAGGGAGGATACAGGAGGTAGAAGAGCTTACACTCTATTAGGTATAAGGGAGGATACAGGAGGTAGAAAGAGCTTACAATCTATTAGGGTATAAGGAGGATACAGGAGGTAGAAGAGCTTACAATCTATTAGGGTATAAGGGAGGATACAGGAGGTAGAAGAGCTGACAATCTATTAGGGTATAAGGGAGGATACAGGAGGTAGAAGAGCTTACAATCTATTAGGGTATAGGGAGGATACAGGAGGTAGAAGAGCTTACAATCTATTAGGGTATAAGGGAGGATACAGGAGGTAGAAGAGCTTACATCTATTAGGGTATAAGGGAGGATACAGGAGGTAGAAGAGCTTACAATCTATTAGGGTATAAGGGAGGATACAGGAGGTAGAAGAGCTTACAATCTATTAGGGTATAGGGGGAGGATACAGGAGGTAGAAGAGCTTACACTCTATTAGGGTATAAAGGGAGGATACAGGAGGTAGAAGAGCTTACAATCTATTAGGTATAAGGGGGGATACAGGAGGTAGAAGAGCTTACACTCTATTAGGGTATACAGGAGGATACAGGAGGTAGAAGAGCTTACACTCTATTAGGGTATAAGGGAGGATACAGGAGGTAGAAGAGCTTACACTCTATTAGGGTATAAGGGGGATACAGGAGGTAGAAGAGCTTACAATCTATTAGGGTATAAGGGGGGATACAGGAGGTAGAAGAGCTTACACTCTATTAGGGTATAGGGGAGGATACAGGAGGTAGAAGAGCTTACACTCTATTAGGGTATAAGGAGGATACAGGAGGTAGAAGAGCTTACAATCTATTAGGGTATAAGGGAGGATACAGGAGGTAGAAGAGCTTACAATCTATTAGGGTATAAGGGAGGATACAGGAGGTAGAAGAGCTTACACTCTATTAGGGTATAAGGGAGGATACAGGAGGTAGAAGAGCTTACAATCTATTAGGGTATAAGGGAGGATACAGGAAGGTAGAAGAGCTTACAATCTCTATTAGGGTATAACGGGAGGATACAGGAGGTAGAAGAGCTTACAATCTATTAGGGTATAAGGAGGATACAGGAGGTAGAAGAGCTTACACTCTATTAGGGTATAAGAAGGATACAGGAGGTAGAAGAGCTTACAATCTATTAGGGTATATAAGGGAGGATACAGGAGGTAGAAGAGCTGACAATCTAACTCAATCATTTGGAGGGGGAGGGGGGTGGGGGGGCCGCATACTTTTGGGCATATCAGCCATATACTGTATTTAGATGGTAACACAGGACGGAGAACTGTCCCACAGCAACCAATCAAATCTGAGCTTTTGCTGCTGTGTCTACAGCAGGGGTGGGCAACTGTGGCCCTCCAGTTGGTGAACTACAAGTCCCATCATGCCTCTGCCTTTGGGAGCCATGCTTGTAACTGTCAGTTTTGCAATGCCTCATGAGACTTTTAATTCTACAACAGCTGGAGGGCCACAGTTTCCCACCCCTGGTCTACAGGAAGCTGAAATCTGATTGGTTTCTTTAGCAGGTTGCCCCCCCATTGTGCCCCCCCCCCCTTACAATAGCTTACTAAATAAACCCAACAAATCAGAATAAATAACCCCCAAAATACCTGGAAGCAGCTCTCGGAATTCGGTGACACAGCAGCCGCCCCACTCCCGCGCCGGGTTACAGGCCACCTCCATCTCATCTGGAGTCACAATGGGCCGGTAGAAGTCGCTGGAGTCCAGCAAGGAGTTCTCGGCACAAGCCACCAACACAAAGATGTCCACCTCCGGGAAGTTGGCCAGCTTGGCTGGGTTCAGCTTCCCCATAGACAGCATGTAACTCTTCTTCCCGGCTCTTTGGATGACGTCCTTCAGGTGGGCCAGAGCCGACAAATAGTCCGACACACCCAGAGTGCCCACCAGAATGCCCACCACCCGAGCGTCCCGGGCCTTCTCGATCAGATAGAAGCGTTTCATCAGGGCGCGGTTGACATTCAGCCCTTCCTTCCTGCCCTCCCCAGTCTCGGGGTTGAAGCTGAAGAAGGGGCACCGCGGCCAGGTCAGTAGGAGGTTGCTGAGCGTTGGACCTTCTCCTCCGACGTAGAATAAACTGAAGGCATCTGGCCAGAAGGTCGGATCAGGAGAGAAGCTCCGGCCAAACCTGCGGACCTCACCGGGAGAAGGACCATCGCTGACCCAGGAGAGCTTAGTGAATACGACACGGGGGTGAGTCCGGGCCAGGAGTGCTTCCAATTCACCTGAGGAGCAAAGATCAACAGTGTGCAGGAGTTCCGTTTCATCATCGCCTTATGGAGAAACAGAAAATATGTATCGCCAACATAATCCGCAGCGCTGTACAATGATATCCAGGTGCATCTCAATCATTTAGAATATCATCAAAAAGTTTCAGTAATTCAGTTCAAAAAGTGAAACTCATATTAACCAATTCCCTCCCGGCCTACAGTAAAATGGCGGCCTGGCGAACACCACGTCCCTCCGGGAGGCGTCATGTGACGTCCTTCCCGGATTGAGATATGCGCATGCCCGCAGGGCCACGCTGTGGCGAGATCTGTCACCGGCCAATCACAGATCTGTGTACCGGGCACGTGGCCAGTACCATGTGACCTGCTGTGACCAATCACAGCAGGTCACATGACAGTTGTATACAATGGATGGCTTCCATTGTGTCTAGCTGTGAATGGTCACAGTGATCACATGCACAAGCTGGGCCAATCACAACCCATCTGTGTCATGTGATTAGCCGTGGCCTATCACAGCAAAAAAAAAAAAAAAAACCTGAATGAATCGATTTCATTTAGTTAAATGATTGCTTATAGCAAAGGAATTCTTTGCTATAAGCAATCAAATTGTGTATGTGAAAAAAAAATTATTGATCAGTTCCCCAAAGTAGTACAACGTTACTATGGTAACATCATACTACTTTGATCATAGTGTAATATGAAAAAAAAAATCTTACAAAAAGAGAAAGAATGTAATAAAAACTAATAAATAAAAAAAAGAATTTCATACTGTCACCAGTGTCCCTGAACACCGCCATGCCAGTTATATGACGACGCTGTACTGCACTGGTGACAGTATGTAAAAAAAAATTTAAAAATAGGGAAAATAATTTTTTTTATTTAATTTTTTTGAAAAACGATGACAAAAAAATTACAACTCGCTATGCCTCTTATGAAGTACGTCGGACTGTCTACTCTGCAAAAAGGGATCATTTGGGGGATATCTGTACCGTCCTGACATTTGGGGGATATCTGTCCCGCCCTGACATTTGGGGGATATCTGTCCCATCCTGACATTTGGGGGATATCTGTCCCGTCCTGACATTTGGGGGATATCTGTCCCGTCCTGACATTTGGGGGATATCTGTCCCATCCTGACATTTGGGGGATATCTGTACTGTTCTGACATTTGGGGGGATATCTGTACTGTTCTGACATTTGGGGATATCTGTACTGTTCTGACATTTGGGGGATATCTGTACCGTTCTGACATTTGGGGGATATCTGTACTGTCCTGACATTTGGGGATATCTGTACCGTTCTGACATTTGGGGGATATCTGTACCGTTCTGACATTTGGAGGATATCTGTACCGTCCTGACATTTGGGGGATATCTGTACCGTCCTGACATTTGGGGGATATCTGTCCTTTCCTGACATTTGGGGGGTATCTGTACTGTGCTGACATTTGGAGGATATCTGTACCGTCCTGACATTTGGGGGATATCTGTCCTTTCCTGACATTTGGGGGGTATCTGTACTGTGCTGACATTTGGGGGATATCTGTCCTGTGCTGACATTTGGGGGGATATCTGTACTGTCCTGACATTTGGGGGATATCTGTACTGTCCTGACATTTGGGGGGATATCTGTACTGTCCTGACATTTGGGGGGATATCTGTACTGTCCTGACATTTGGGGGGATATCTGTACTGTCCTGACATTTGGGGGATATCTGTCCTGTCCTGAAATTTGGGGGGATATCTGTACTGTCCTGACATTCTTGGACCTCAAGAAATTAGATTGGCTGTCAGTACTTCAGGATTGATCAATATTCAGATCTATCCCATAGTTTGTGAACTCTATAACTTTCCTACAAACTAAATAATACATCCTAATTTGGGTTATTTTCACCAAAGACATGTAGCAGAATACATCTCGGCCTAAATTTATGAAGAACAATTATTTATTTGCAAACGTTTATAACAGAAACGTGGACTTTTTTTTTTCAAAATTTTCAGTCTTTTTTTGTTAATTTAGCAAAGAATAAAAACCCCGGCGGTGATTAATTTCCACCAAAAGAAAGCTCTAGTTGTGTGAAGAAAATGATAAAATTTTAGTTTGGGTACAGTGTTGTATGACCGCGCAATTGTCATTCAAAATGTGAGAGCGCTGAAACCTGAAAATTGGCCTGGGCAGGAAGGGGGTAAAAGTGCCCAGTATGGAAGGGGTTAATTATATCGATTCATTACACACAGAGTGATATAGTTCAAGGATTTCTCTCTTTTAATGTTGAGGATTATGGCTACAGCGAGTGAAAACCCAAAAATTCTGAATCTCACAAAAATTAGAATATTGTAAAAATGTTCAATATTGTAGACTCACGGCGCCACGCCCCAGACTCGCGGGGTCACGCCCCAGACTCGCGGCGTCACGCCCCAGACTCGCGGCCTCACGCCCCAGACTCGCGGCCTCACGCCCCAGACTCGCGGCGTCACGCCCCAGACTCGCGGCGCCACGCCCCAGACTCGCGGGGCCACGCCCCAGACTCGCGGGGCCACGCCCCAGACTCGCGGCGCCACGCCCCAGACTCGCGGCGCCACGCCCCAGACTCGCGGGGTCACACCCCAGACTCGCTGGGTCACACCCCAGACTCGCGGGGTCACACCCCAGACTCGCGGGGTCACACTCTAATCAGCTAATTAACTCCAAACACCTGTAAAGGTTTCCCGAGTCTTGGAATGGTCCCTCAGTCTGGTTCGGTAGGTTACAAAATCACAGGGAAGACTGCCGACTTGACAGTTGTCCAGAAGACAGTCACTGACACCCTCCGCAAGGAGGGCAAGTCACACAAGGTCATTGCTAAAGAAGCCGGCTGTTCAGAGTGCTGTATCCAAGCATCTTCATGGAAGGTTGAGTGGAAGAAAAAAAGTGTAGCAGAAAAAGGTGCACAAGCAACAGGGATAACCGGAGCCTTGAGAGGATTGTGACGCAAAGGCCATTCAAGAATTTGGGGGAGATTCACAAGGAGTGGACTACGGCTGGTGTCAGTGCTTCAACAGTCACCACACTCAGACGTATCCAGGACGTGGGCTGCAACTGTCGCATTCCTTGCGTCAAGCCGCTCCTGAATCAGAGACGTCAGAAACGTCTTACCTGGGATAAGGAGGAAAAGGACTGGACTGTTGCTCGGTGGTCCAAAGTCCTCTTTTCGGACTTCATTTGGAAGTCATGGCCCCAGAGTGTGGAGGAAGAATGGAGAGGCACAGAATCCAAGTTGCATGAGGTCCGGTGTGACGTTTCCACAGTCAGTGATGGTTTGGGGAGCTGTGTCATCTGATGGTTCTGGTCCACGGGGTTTTATCAAGTCCAAAGTCGGCGCAGCCTTCTACCAGGACATTCTGGAGAACTTCATGCTTCCCTCAGCTGACCAGCTTCATGGAGATGCGGATTTCATTTTCCAGCAGGACTTGGCTCCGGCCCACATGGCCAAATGTACCGATACCTGGTTTAATGATCATGGTGTCACTGTGCCTGATTGGCCAGCAAACTCGCCGGACCTCAACCCCATAGAGAACCTGTGGGGTATTGTCAAGAGAAAGATGAGAGACATGAGACCGAACAATGCAGACAAGCTGAAGGCCACTGTCACAGCAACCTGGGCTTCCATAACACCTCAGCAGTGCCACAGGCTGATCACCTCCATGACACACCGCACTGATGCAGCAATTCACGAAAACGGAGCCCCGACCATGTATTAAGTGCATACCGGGGTCGGGACAAAGGGTGGGCGGGACACAGGGTGGACTGGAGGGGCAATGGTATCATGTGGGGGGGTATGCATGGAGAGCTGAGAGGAGTAGTGATGCCAGCTTCACTACTCATGCCAGCATAGCAGTGGAGGATACAAGCCAGATCAGGAGAGGAGGAGGGATCCGGGAGGAGGGACAGGTTGTGCTCTCTCTCCCTCTTCCAGCTCCTCCTCCTGCCACTGCAGCTCACCTGGATTGGGACTGCTGGATGGCCACTGTGCCGTGTTTGTTTATCTTTCCCCCATCTCCTTCCAGCAAAGAACATGGGTAAGGCAGGCCATAGACGGGCCGTTTATCTGCCGAATTTTCTGCCGATAAACGAAAAATCGGTCGGCTCCGTTGCCGATGCTGCCACCAATGTCCACGAAAAACGTCCGTTTTTTGTGGATTTTACAGCATGACCGATAAAAATAAATGTGAAGATCCGCGAAAACCGGCTAACGGACGGGCCCCACTAACGACGTGAATATCGGCCGATTTTTTCGTGCGAACGAAAATTCGGCTGATAAACGACCCGTCTATGGCCTGCAATAGTGGCCGGTGAGCAAACACTGCACAGGGGCAATCTGACAGCCAGCGGCATTTCTAGTGCAGGGCCCCAACACTGCGATCCTATAGCCCTCTATTGGGGGGGAGGGGATTTTTGCTGACACATATTGCTCATACATTTTTGGGGGGGGGGGGGGGCGTTTGGCATGTTCGCCCTGGGTGCTGGATGACCTTGTCCCGGCACTGGCGCATACTATACTGGACATGGACATACTTTTCAGGACGCCAACATCTCGGTAATAAAAATATATATTTTTTTTATTGGTCTTATGAAATATTCTAATTTTCTGAGATGCAGAATTTTGGGGTTTTCACTCGCTGTGAGCCAGAATCCTCAAAATTAAAGGAAAAAAATACTTGAAATATATCGCTCTGTGTAATAAATCGATATAATATAGGAGTGTCACTCTTTGAAGTGAATTACTGAAACAAAGTAACTTTTTGATGATATTCTCATTTATTGAGATGTCCCTCTAGAAGGAGAAAGAACCGAGTATAAAGAATACAGGATATAGGAGGTCAAGGAGCTTGCAATCTATTAGGGTATACGGGAGGATACAGGAGGTAGAAGAGCTTACACTCTATTAGGGTATAAGGGAGGATACAGGAGGTAGAAGAGCTTACACTCTATTAGGGTATAAGGGAGGATACAGGAGGTAGAAGAGCTTACACTCTATTAGGGTATAAGGGAGGATACAGGAGGTAGAAGAGCTTACAATCTATTGGGGTATAAGGGAGGATACAGGAGGTAGAAGAGCTTACAATCTATTGGGGTATAAGGGAGGATACAGGAAGGTAGAAGAGCTTACACTCTATTAGGAATAAGGGGGGATACAGGAGGTAGAAGAGCTTACACTCTATTAGGGTATACGGGAGGATACAGGAGGTAGAAGAGCTTACACTCTATTAGGATATACGGGAGGATACAGGAGGTAGAAGAGCTTACACTCTATTAGGGTATAAGGGAGGATACAGGAGGTAGAAGAGCTTACACTCTATTAGGGTATAAGGGAGGATACAGGAGGTAGAAGAGCTTACAATCTATTAGGGTATAAGGGAGGATACAGGAGGTAGAAGAGCTTACAATCTATTAGGGTATACGGGAGGATACAGGAGGTAGAAGAGCTTACACTCTATTAGGGTATAAGGAGGATACAGGAGGTAGAAGAGCTTACACTCTATTAGGGTATAAGGGAGGATACAGGAGGTAGAAGAGCTTACACTCTATTAGGTATAAGGGAGGATACAGAAGGTAGAAGAGCTTACAATCTATTAGGTTTTCCACCAGCACATTACAATCAGGACATTACCTAGAACATGTTCATACACGACATCACTGAACACCACCACTGGCGTTTGGTGGTCTGGGAAGAAGTTGTGAAAACTCTCTGCACACAGGTTCACATCCGCCGCTTTACGACCGAAAACATACATGACGGGCAGCCGGTTGCTCGGGCTCAGACACGCTCTGCCATAATGTATCAGGATTTCAGCGCCAACATGTTCAGCGGCCACCTCGTCCACACAGCAACTGCCAGGAGCAACAGACAGGAAATCGGGTTATCGCTGGACACACTCACAGCCTGGACAGGATAACCGACATCCCCTAGACCCCTGCCCGCCCCCCCTTAATCATAGATCTGACCAATGTCCGTACAATCCCTGCACACAAGTCGATTTTCCTGGTGACCTTTATTACCGGGACAAAAAGTGATGGAAGCCCCAATATTTTACAGCTGACCCCACTGCGCGCCCGCCGCCACGACACTGAGAACGCGCCCCGCCACGACACTGAGAACATTGTATATACACTGGAGACGCGCCCCCCACTGAGAACGCGTTATTAAACGACAATGAGAAAGTTTAGACTTTGCCAAATGACTGAGAACGGCCCCGGGGGGGGGGTTAATGCTCCCCCGCCAACTGAAACGCGCCCAGTTTACTGTCCAGAGAACGCGCCCCGGGCTGACTGTGCCCGTACGGAGTAAACAACGCGCCAATCCGGTACGAGGGAGAAATAGCCCGGTGTCAGTGGGAGGAATACGTGCCCCCATTGGTGACACAGTGGGAGGAACGTGCCCCATCATTGGTGTCACGTGGGAGAAAGTGCCCCCGCCATTGGTGTCACTGGAGGAACGTGCCCCCCATCACTGGTGTCCGCCACGGGAGAGAATAGTGCCCCATCGTCCTGGTCAGTACAGAGGACAGAAGGAATCCAATATGGAATCTATCGGGTGTCTTGGGGTGAATAGTGCCCCATCACACAGTACGTGGCACACAGTGCACAGAGCATTGGTATATAGTGGGAGGAATAGTGCCCCAGAAGTTATTAAAACAAATGTACAAAGTTTAGGAATAGAAATGATCAGAGGTGGGGGGGTGGGAGGAATAGTGCCCAAACCTTCGTTTACTGTCCAGACTTTAGTGGGGCTGACTGTGGTAGGAGTAAACAATGCCCAATCTTTGGTATTCAGTGGGAGAATAGTGTCCCAATTGGTGTCAGTGGGAGGAATAGTGCCCCATCATTGGTGTCAGTGGGAGGAATAGTGCCCCATCGTTGGTGTCAGTGGGAGGAATAGCGCCCCATCGTTGGTGTCAGTGGGAGGAATAGTGCCCCATCGTTGGTGTCAGTGGGAGGAATAGTGCCCCATCGTTGGTGTCAGTGGGAGGAATAGTGCCCCATCGTTGGTGTCAGTGGGAGGAATAGTGCCCATCGTTGGTGTCAGTGGAGGAATTAGTGCCCCATCGTTGGTGTCAGTGGAAGGAATTATTCCCCATCATTGGTGTCAGTGGAAGGAATTGTTCCCCATCATTGGTGTGAGTGGAAGGAATTGTTCCCCATCATTGGTGTCAGTGGAAGGAATTATTCCCCATCATTGGTGTCAGTGGAAGGAATTATTCCCCATCATTGGTGTCAGTGGAAGGAATTATTCCCCATCATTGGTGTCAGTGGAAGGAATTATTCCCCATCATTGGTGTCATTGGAGAATACTGCTCTATCGGTGTTAGTGGAAGGAATGGTAGATTCTGACAATAATATCAGGATCCACCCAGATGCCATATCGGCAGTTGGCTCAGCCTCTCTGACCACTGAGCACCGGAGCCAGCCATTCCCGCCCCTCTACGCCCCAAAACGCCAGCAAGCGCTGGAAATGCAGAATGGAGAGCAGTGACTGACAGTCACCACTCTCTACCCAGAGCTGACCGAGAACTGCGACACCCGTGCAATAGTGTGTTCTGGAACACCCAATCCTGAAGCCCGGCCTGCCAACGGAACATCTTCTCATGTCAATCACCTCACCTGCCGTACGACGTGTCCCCCAAGATGTACATTCTGGCCCCGGTGGCATCTTCCAGTTTTCTGGCAATACCGACTGAATCCACCAGGAGGACATCGGGGAACTGCAGAGCCACCTAAACCCAGAGAGGCAGAGAGCTTTGTAAGAGGCAGAATATCAAAGAGAACCTGTCATCACAGGCAGCCACAGACAACTGACTTTTTTTTTTTTTTATTGTAAGTAAGTCTTTAACCCCTCCCCCTCCAGAGGAAACCCCCCCCCCCCCCCCTTCCTGACCAGGTTATTTTTTGCGATACAGCGCTGCGTGACTTTAATCACAATTGCGCGGTCATGCAACGCCGCACCCATATGCAATTTACATTCTTTTTTTTCCCACGAATAGAGCTTTCTTTTGGTGGTATTTGATGCCCTCTGCGCTTTATATTTATTGCGCTATAAACAAAAAAATGACGACAATTTTGAGAAAAAAAAAATATATTTTTTTGCTATTAACCCCTCGCCCCTCGCCCCGGGCACTTCTACACCCCTCCTGCCCCTCGCCTCCCGGGCACTTCTACACTTCTACCCCTCCTGCCCCTCGCCTCCCGGGCACTTCTACACCCCTCCTGCCCCTCGCCTCCCGGGCACTTCTACCCCCCTCCTGCCCCTCGCCTCCCGGGAACTTCTACCCCCCTCCTGCCCCTCGCCTCCTGGGCACTTCTACCCCCCTCCTGCCCCTCGCCTCCCGGGCACTTCTACCCCCCTCCTGCACTTCTACCCCCCCCGCCTCCCGGGCACTTCTACCCCCCTCCTGCCCCTCGCCTCCCGGGCACTTCTACCCCCCTCCTGCCCCTCGCCTCCTGGGCACTTCTACCCCCCCCCTCCTGCCCCTCGCCTCCTGGGCACTTCTACCCCCCCCCCCTCCTGCCCCTCGCCTCGCCTGGGCACTTCTACCCCCCTCCTGCCCCTCGCCTCCCGGGCACTTCTACCCCCCTCCTGCCCCTCGCCTCCTGGGCACTTCTACCCCCCCCTCCTGCCCCTCGCCCCGGGCACTTATACCCCCCTCATGCCCCTCGCCTCCCGGGCACTTCTACCCCCTTCCTGCCCCTCGCCTCCCGGGCACTTCTACCCCCCCCTCCTGGCACTTCTACCCCCCCTCGCCTCCCGGGCACTTCTACCCCCTTTCCTGCCCCTCGCCTCCCGGGCACTTCTACCCCTTCCTGCCCCTCGCCTCCCGGGCACTTCTACCCCCCTCCTGCCCCTCGCCTCCCGGGCACTTATACCCCCCCCCTCGCCTCCGGGCTACCCCCTTGCCCCTCCCTGGGCACTACTACCCCCTCCTGCCCCTCGCCTCCCGGGCACTTCTACCCCCCTCCTGCCCCTCCCCTCCCGGGCACTTCTACCCCCCTCCTGCCCCTCGCCTCCCGGGCACTTCTCTAACCCCTTTACCCCCTCCTGCCCCTCGCCTCCCGGGCACTTCTACCCCCCTCCTGCCTCTCCCTCCCGGGCACTTCTACCCCCCTCCTGCCCCTCGCCCGGGCACTTCTACCCCCCTTCCCCCCTCTCGCCTCCCGGGCACCCCCCTCCTGCCTCTCGCCTCCCGGGCACTTCTACCCCCCTCCTGCCCCTCGCCTCCCGGGCACTTCTACCCCCCTCCTGCCCCTCGCCTCCCCGGGCACTTCTACCCCCCTCCTGCCCTCTCGCCTCCCGGGCACTTCTACCCCCCTCCTGCCCCCCTCGGGCCTCCTGGGCACTTCTACCCCCCCTCCTGCCCCCTTCACTTCTACCCCCCTGCCCCTCACCTCCCGGGCACTTCTACCCCCTTCCTGCCCCCCCTCCCGGGCACTTCTACCCCCTTCCCCCCCTCACCCCTCACCCCCCTGGGCACTTCTACCCCCCTCCCGGGCCCCCTTCCTGCCCCTCGCCTACCCCCCCCGGGCACTTCTATCCCCTTCCTGCCCCTCACCTCCCGGGCACTTCTACCCCCCTCCCGGGCACTTCTACCCCCTTCCTGCCCCTCGCCTCCCGGGCACTTCTACCCCCCTCCTGCCCAGGCCAATTTCCAGCTTTCAGCGCTGTCACACTTTGAATGACAATTGCGCGGTCATGCAACACTGTACCCATATGACATTTTTAGCATTTTTTCATGACAGATAGAGCTTTATTTTGGTGGTATTTAATCACCTCGGGGATTTTTTATTTTTTGCTAAACAAACCCAAAACCACTGAAAATTTTGAAAAAAAAACTTTTTTTCTTAGTTTTTGTTTTAAAATTTTGTAAATAAGTGATTTTTTTCCTTCACTGATGTGCGCTAATGAGGCTGCAGTGATGGGCACTGGTAGGTGGCACTGATAGGCATCACTGATGGGCACTGAAAGGCAGCACTGATATATGGCACTGACAGGCATTGATAGGCAGCTCAGATGGGCACTGATATGTGGCATTGATGAGCACTGACAGCTGACACTGGCAGGTGGCACTGCTGGGGTTACACTGATCATCAGTGCCCTGATGATCAGTGCATATGTGCCCTCTGAGGGATGCCGATTACCGGCTCTGCACTCCTCTCCTGTCAGCGTGACAGCTTGTGAGGAGAGAAATGCCGATAACCGGCATTTCCCTGTTTACATGCGATCAGCTGTGATTGGACACAGCTGATCACATGACCGAGCCGACATCTTCAGCTCTTTCCGTGGATCGGTGATCCGCTGTGTCCAAGGGACACAGCACACCGTCGATCGCCGCGCTGCATGCTCGCGGAGCCACACATGCGCGGTTAGAATGGGAGGACGAAATATGATGTCATCCCAGAACAAGAGAACCGCCTTGCGCCCATCATTGTACAATATGGCGGGCGGGAGGCGGTTAAACACGTCCAGTAAACAAATTTTAAAAATCAAATTCCATCGTAAATTTAGGCCAAAATGTATCCCGCTCCGTGTCTTTGCTAAAAAAAAAAAAAAATCTAGATATACGTATAAATTAATTGGTTTACGTGAATGTTGCAGCGTCTACAAATGGCGGTATAGATACTGGAATTTTTTTTTTACTAGTAATGGCAGCGATCAGCGACTTATAGCGGGACTGCGGCAGGCATTCTGAAACTGACTTGGTGTCACTGACACCAATACAGTGATCAGTGCTAATAAAATGCACTGACACTGTACTAATGGATCTGGGAAGGAAGGGGTTAACATCTGGGGTGATCAAAGGGTTAACTGTGTGCTGTTTCACTATGTGGGCTGCGTGCGCTTCACTGTAAGCACACTGCTTTGCATGGCTGTGCTATGCAGAGCCATACAAAGCAGTGTGCAGGAGCTGACAGGACAGATTTGTATTGTTCCACAGTAATTAACCCTTTCTCCTGCCGCCGCAGATTCATACGTTAATGAGCAGCACTGTGAGGAGCTCCAAGTCCCAGCACTGTGAGGAGCTCCAAGTCCCAGCACTGTGAGGAGCTCCAAGTCCCAGCACTGTGAGGAGCTCCAAGTCCCAGCACTGTGAGGAGCTCCAAGTCCCAGCACTGTGAGGAGCTCCAAGTCCCAGCACTGTGAGGAGCTCCAAGTCCCAGCACTGTGAGGAGCTCCAAATCCCAGCACTGTGAGGAGCTCCAAGTCCCAGCACTGTGAGGAGCTCCAAATCCAGCACTGTGAGGAGCTCCAAATCCCAGCACTGTGAGGAGCTCCAAGTCCCAGCACTGTGAGAGAGCTCCAAGTCCCAAGCACTGTGAGGAGCTCCAAGTCCCAGCACTGTGAGGAGCTCCAAGTCCCAGCACTGTGAGGAGCTCCAAGTCCCAGCACTGTGAGGAGCTCCAAGTCCCAGCACTGTGAGGAGCTCCAAGTCCCAGCACTGTGAGGAGCTCCAAGTCCCAGCACTGTGAGGAGCTCCATGTCCCAGCACTGTGAGGAGCTCCAAGTCCCAGCACTGTGAGGAGCTCCAAGTCCCAGCACTGTGAGGAGCTCCAAGTCCCAGCACTGTGAGGAGCTCCAAGTCCCAGCACTGTGAGGAGCTCCAAGTCCCAGCACTGTGAGAAGCTCCAAGTCCCAGCACTGTGAGGAGCTCCAAGTCCCAGCACTGTGAGGAGCTCCAAATCCCAGCACTGTGAGGAGCTCCAAATCCCAGCACTGTGAGGAGCTCCAAATCCCAGCACTGTGAGGAGCTCCAAGTCCCAGCACTGTGAGGAGCTCCAAATCCCAGCACTGTGAGGAGCTCCAAATCCCAGCACTGTGAGGAGCTCCAAGTCCCAGCACTGTGAGGAGCTACAAGTCCCAGCACTGTGAGGAGCTACAAGTCCCAGCACTGTGAGGAGCTCCAAGTCCCAGCACTGTGAGGAGCTCCAAATCCCAGCACTGTGAGGAGCTCCAAGTCCCAGCACTGTGAGGAGCTCCAAATCCCAGCACTGTGAGGAGCTCCAAGTCCCAGCACTGTGAGGAGCTCCAAGTCCCAGCACAGTGAGGAGCTCCAAGTCCCAGCACTGTGAGGAGCTCCAAGTCCCAGCACTGTGAGGAGCTCCAAGTCCCAGCACTGTGAGGAGCTCCAAGTCCCAGCACTGTGAGGAGCTCCAAGTCCCAGCACTGTGAGGAGCTCCAAATTCCAGCACTGTGAGGAGCTCCAAGTCCCAGCACTGTGAGGAGCTCCAAGTCCCAGCACTGTGAGGAGCTCCAGGAGTCCCAGCACTGTGAGGAGCTCCAAGTCCCAGCACTGTGAGGAGCTCCAAATCCCAGCACTGTGAGGAGCTCCAAGTCCCAGCACTGTGAGGAGCTCCAAGTCCCAGCACTGTGAGGAGCTCCAAGTCCCAGCACTGTGAGGAGCTACAAGTCCCAGCACTGTGAGGAGCTCCAAGTCCCAGCACTGTGAGGAGCTCCAAGTCCCAGCACTGTGAGGGAGCTCCAAGTCCCAGCACTGTGAGGAGCTCCAAATCCCAGCACTGTGAGGAGCTCCAAGTCCCAGCACTGTGAGGAGCTCCAAGTCCCAGCACTGTGAGGAGCTCCAAGTCCCAGCACTGTGAGGAGCTCCAAGTCCCAGCACTGTGAGGAGCTCCAAGTCCCAGCACTGTGAGGAGCTCCAAGTCCCAGCACTGTGAGGAGCTCCAAGTCCCAGCACTGTGAGGAGCTCCAAGTCCCAGCACTGTGAGGAGCTCCAAGTCCCAGCACTGTGAGGAGCTCCAAGTCCCAGCACTGTGAGGAGCTACAAGTCCCAGCACTGTGAGGAGCTCCAAGTCCCAGCACTGTGAGGAGCTCCAAGTCCCAGCACAGTGAGGAGCTCCAAGTCCCAGCACTGTGAGGAGCTCCAAGTCCCAGCACTGTGAGGAGCTCCAAGTCCCAGCACTGTGAGGAGCTCCAAGTCCCAGCACTGTGAGGAGAGGAGCTCCAAGTCCCAGCACTGTGAGGAGCTCCAAGTCCCAGCACTGCTCACTCATTTTTTTTTTTTGTTGCAGGCATGCAACATTTCTCGTTAACAAGGAGCGCACTTGAGACTCGCTCCAATGGGCTCCCTTCCCCCCTGCTGTGAATGACAGCGCGGGTCTTCAGTACATCTCCTGCTGCTGGGGACGAGCGCTGTCACTCAGACCTAATTATATATTTGTCTCCTTGCTAGCAGCAAGGAGGAGAGACAATGTCATAGGTGTCATTGGGAGGAACTGCGCCCCGTCGTAGGTGTCATTGGGAGGAATTGCGCCCCCCCGTCGTAGGTGTCATTGGGAGGAACTGTGCCCCGTCGTAGGTGTCATTGGGAGGAACTGCGCCCCGTCGTAGGTGTCATTGGGAGGAACTGCGCCCCGTCGTAGGTGTCATTGGGAGGAATTGCGACCCGTGGTAGGTGTCACTGGGAGGAACTGCGCCCCGTCGTAGGTGTCATTGGGAGGAACTGCGACCCGTCGTAGGTGTCATTGGGAGGAACTGCGACCCTTCGTTGGTGTCATTGGGAGGAACTGCGACCCTTCGTTGGTGTCATTGGGAGGAATTGGGACCCATCGTTGGTGTCATTGGGAGGAATTGCGACCCATCGGTGTCAGTGGGAGGAATAGTGCCCCACCATAGGGAGGAAGAGTGCACCATCGTAGGTGTCATTGGGAGGAATTGCTCCCCGTCGTAGGTGTCATTGGGAGGAACTGCGCCCCGTCGTAGGTGTCATTGGGAGGAATTGCGCGCCCCGTCGTAGGTGTCATTGGGAGGAATTGCTCCCCGTCGTAGGTGTCATTGGGAGGAACTGCGCCCCGTCGTAGGTGTCATTGGGAGGAACTGCGCCCCGTCGTAGGTGTCATTGGGAGGAATTGCGCCCCGTCGTAGGTGTCATTAGGAGGAATTTGCGCCCCGTCGTAGGTGTCATTGGGAGGAATTGCTCCCCGTCGTAGGTGTCATTGGGAGGAATTGCGCCCCGTCGTAGGTGTCATTGGGAGGAATTGTGCCCCGTAGGTGTCATTGGGAGGAGCTGCGCCCCGTCGTAGGTGTCACTGGGAGGAACTGCGCCCCGTCGTTAGGTGTCATTGGGAGGAACTGCGACCCATCGTTGGTGTCATTGGGAGGAATTGGGACCCATCGTTGGTGTCATTGGGAGGAATTGCGACCCATCGGTGTCAGTGGGAGGAATAGTGCCCCATCATAGGGAGGAAGAGTGCACCATCGTAGGTGTCATTGGGAGGAATTGTGCCCCATCGTAGGTGTCATTGGGAAGAACTGTGCCCCATCATAGGTTGGGAAGAACTGTGTCATGGGGTCCAATCATTGGAACAAATTATGCCTCTTTATTGGTGTTAATGGGGGAGGGGATTCTGTCCCATTGTTGATATCAGTGGATGAAATAGTGCCCCAAGGACCGGATAACAGCAAGCAAGGGGCAGCATGTGGCCCCCGGGCCGCAGTTTGGACCACTGGTCTAATTGAACAGATGTGCTCCATCAATATACCTTGAAGGGCGCTGCTGTGAATTGTATTTGCCACCTCGAGTTCACATCTTACCAGGACATCCTCTGCCAAGCAGGGCCAAGACAAGGGGTGGGCAGGAGGGGCAGCCGCCCTGGGCACAGCGGAGCAAGAGAAGGGTCACAGGGCCCCCATTCTACAGCATGCACTATCAGTGGGGGAGGGGTGCAGTTCTGCATCCTCGCACTGGGCGCAAGAGGAACTTGTCCCGGTCATACAAATCAGTGTGGAATCACAAACCTTGTGGGCCCCGTTCTTCTGAATAAATCGGACAGTCCTCTGAATGTCATAGACCTCTTCCAGGGACCCCTCGGAGCATCTACTGGCCCCCAGTTCTGGAGTACTCAGGGCCCGATGGATGACGTTCTCCGCGTCACTGCTGAACAGAGCGGCGCTCATATTCCTGCGATCTGTCGGCGTGGCAGGGACAGCGGATCACCTCATTGGACGGAATCACAGAAACCTGACAAAAATATAAATATTAAACATGACGGCCGACAATCATAACCTAGAAAGAAGATCCTGGAATACATCGACCACGTGTCCTCCGACCCAGGGAAGTACTGCTGCAGGGCGGCACGGCTGCGCACAATCACGTGTGTGTGTGTATATATATATATACAGTGGGGATGGAAAGTTTGGGCACCCCAGCTAAAAATGTGTATTAATGTGCATAAAGAAGCCAAGGAAAGATGGAAAAATCTCCAAAAGGCATCAAATTACAGATTAGACATTCTTATAATATGTCAACAAAAGTTAGATTTTATTTCCATCATTTACACTTTCAAAATAACAGAAAACAAAAAAATGGCGTCTGCAAAAGTTTGGGCCCCCTGCAGAGTTAATATCTTGTACTGCCCCCTTTGGCAAGTATCACAGCTTGTAAACGCTTTTTGTAGCCAGCCAAGAGTCTTTCAATTCCTGTTTGAGGTATCTTTGCCCATTCTTCCTTACAAAAGTCTTCCAGTTCTTTGAGATTTCTGGGCTGTCTGTCACGCACGGCTCTTTTAAGGTCTATCCATAGATTTTCAATTATGTTGAGGTCAGGAGATTGTGAAGGCCATGGCAAAACCTTCAGTTTACGCCTCTTGATGTAATCCCCCGTGGATTTCGAGGTGTGTTTAGGATCATTATCCATTTGTAGAAGCCATCCTCTCTTTAACTTCAGCTTTTTCACAGATGGCATCAAGTTACCATCCAAAATTTGCTGAAATTTTATTGAATCCATTTTTCCTTCTACTCGTGAGATGTTCCCTGTGCCACTGGCTGCAACACAACCCCAAAGCATGATTGATCCAACCCCATGCTTCACAGTTGGACAGAGGTTCTTTTCATTAAATTCTGTGCCCCTTCTTCTCCAAACGTACCTTTGCTCATTCCGGCCAAAAAGTTCAATTTTAACCTCATCGGTCCACAGAACTTGTTTCCAAAATGCATCAGGCTTGACTATTTGTTCATTTGCAAAGTTCAAACAATGATTTTTGTGGTGAGAGGTTTCCTTCTGATGACTCTTCCATGAAGACCATATTTGTACAAGTATCTCTTTATAGTGGAATAGTGTACCACAACTCCAGTGTCTGCCAGATCTTTCTGGAGGGATCGTGCAGTCAAACGTGGGTTTTGAATTGTTTTTCTCACAGTCCTGCGAGCTGTTCTGTCTGATATTTTTTCTTGGTCTTCCAGATCTTGCTTTAACTTCCACTGTTCCTGATGACTGCCATTTCTTAATTACATTCCGAACAGAGGATATTGACATCTGAAAACGCTTTGCTATCTTCTTATAGCCTTCTCCAGTTTTGTGAGCGTCAACTATTTTCAGTTTCAGTTTTCTAGACAACTGCTTAGAAGAACCCATGGTGCTGATTGTTGGGGCAAGGTCAGATGAGTCGGGGCATTTAAAACCTTTGAGATTGACATCACCTGGTCTTCCCAGATGGTGATTGAGAACAATCCATGACACTGGCAGGTCTCAGCTTGGCAAAGGGGGCAGTGCATGCTATAAATTCTGCAGGGGGCCCAAACTTTTGCAGACGCCATTTTTTTGTTTTCTGTTATTTTGAAAGTGTAAATGATGGAAATAAAATCTAACTTTTGTTGACATATTATAGGAATGTCTAATCTGTAATTTGATGCCTTTTGGAGATTTTTCCATCTTTCCTTGGCTTCTTTATGCACATTAATACAAATTTTTAGCTGGGGTGCCCAAACTTTCGATCCCCACTGTATATATATGTGATTTACATTTCCAGGTAGGGGGCACCCATGCCGCTATTGGCTGTTGGGGATGTCAGTCACCGGGTCTCGGTTGGGACTCGATCGGCGGCAGGGCTGAGAGGGGAGAGATCTGGGTGTCACTGGGGATCTCACTAGCACTGACCCCAAGTTCACACCTAAGCGTCTTCTGCAACGTTTTGCGGACACGCACTGCAGTCCATTGAACATGATGGGACGTTTTTTGGAAAGGGTCAGGGACTTTTTTTTTAAAAGCAAAATGTTGGGTTTTTGGTTCTATAGACTTCAATGGAAATGCTGCAGAAAAGCGTGAAGTGCATTTTTCCTGCATTTTTGATGCGTTTAAATCTGCCTAGCAACAAGGGAAAAAAACGCATCAAAAACCAAGCAAAAATGCACTACAGAAACGGATCAAACAAAATCTGCATAGTTGGGGGGGGGGGGGGGGCAGTGTATACAATGTATATATAATGGGGGAGGAGTGTATACAATGTATATATAATGGGGGGGTGTATACAATGTATATATAATGGGGGGGTGCATACAATGTATATATAATGGGGGGTGTATACAATGTATATATAAAGGGGGGGTATACAATGTATATATAATGGGGGGGCAGTGTATACAATGTATATATAATGGGGGGTATACAATGTATATATAATGGGGGGGCAGTGTATACAATGTATATATAATGGGGGGGGGAGTGTATACAATGTATATATAATGGGGGGGTGTGTATACAATGTATATATAATGGGGGGGGGCAGTGTATACAATGTATATATAATGGGGGGGGGCAGTGTATACAATGTATATATAATGGGGGGGGGGCAGTGTATACAATGTATATATAATGGGGGGGCAGTGTATACAATGTATATATAATGGGGGAGGAGTAATGGGGGGGGGGGCAGTGTATACAATGTATATATAATGGGGGGGCAGTGTATACAATGTATATATAATGGGGGGGGCAGTGTATACAATGTATATATAATGGGGGGGGCAGTGTATACAATGTATATATAATGGGGGGGGTGTATACAATGTATATATAATGGGGGGGGGGTGTATACAATGTATATATAATGGGGGCAGTGTATACAATGTATATATAATGGGGGGGTGTATACAATGTATATATAATGGGGGGGCAGTGTATACAATGTATATATAATGGGGGGCAGTGTATACAATGTATATATAATGGGGGGGGCAGTGTATACAATGTATATATAATGGGGGGGGCAGTGTATACAGTGGGGGGGTGTATACAGATCCCCCATGCTGTGTATATACAATGTACGGGGACACAGGCCAGCTGTGAGCAGGGATGATGTATACAGAAAGTGGGGTGTAGGTCTGACCCCCATAAGTTATATCAGTCTTCGCCCTGTCCCCCCCATACCTCCCACGTGGTAAGCTCACAGCTCCTCCAGGACTCTTCCTGCCTCCTCCAATATGGCCGCCATGTGCCCCACTTCCTGCCCCCGTCTGCTCTGAGGGAGGTGACGTCACTCGGGCTGGCAGTGGAGGAGGCAGGTAGGTCACATGACCGGCTGTGATACATTGTATCTGAGGCTACAGAGGAATGGAGTAGAATGGGGGAGGGGGGAGTAGAATTGGGGGGGGGGTGTTGAGGTGACATGAACATAGATCTCATGCTGACCCCAGACGGGTCTATAGCTGCCGGTGTGATCGGGGTGTCCCCTCTGTCCTCTTTGTGCAGGATTGTCCCCCTATGCTTGTCCCTCCACTGTGATCCCCCCTCCCCCCCAGCTCTATCCAGAGTAAGAACTTGTCTGGCGGTCGGTGTCCCCGCCGTGAAGATTCCCCCTCATGTCCTGTGTGGTCACTGAGACAGGAAGTCCCCCTTACAGCGCCCAGCAGACCGCCAGACGCCCCATCATTGGAGGGAAATCTGATTGGAAACGGCTACAAATAGTACTAAAAATGTCCGCATCTCTCGTCTGTGACCTTCATTCTCCTGTACTGTCCGCAGTCTCTGGTCATCTCCTGTACTGTCCGCAGTCTGTGGTCATCTCTGTGCTGTCCGCAGTCTCTGACCATCTCCTGTACTATGTCCGCAGTCTCTGGTCATCTCCTGTACTGTGTCCGCAGTCTCTGGTCATCTCCTGTACTGTGTCCGCAGTCTCTGGTCATCTCCTGTACCGTGTCCGCAGTCTCTGGTCATCTCCTGTACTTGTGTCGCAGTCTCTGGTCATCTCCTGTACTGTGTCCGCAGTCTCTGGTCATCTCCTGTACTGTGTCCGCAGTCTGCAGTCTCTGTCCGCAGTCTCTGGTCATCTCCTGTACTAGTGTCCGCAGTCTCTGGTCATCTCCTGTACTATGTCCGCAGTCTGCAGTCTCTGTACTATGTCCGCAGTCTCTGGTCATCTCCTGTACTATGTCCGCAGTCTCTGGTCATCTCCTGTACTATGTCTGCAGTCTCTGGTCATCTCCTGTACTATGTCTGCAGTCTCTGGTCATCTCCTGTACTATGTCCGCAGTCTCTGGTCATCTCCTGTATTATGTCCGCAGTCTCTGGTCATCTCCTGTACTGTCCGCAGTCTCTGGTCATCTCCTGTATTGTGTCCGCAGTCTCTGACCGTCTCCTGTAGTGTGAAGCTCCTGGCAGTGATTGGTGTGGTTCCTCCTGACAGGTCCTCTCTGCAGTCCAGGAATGGATCCGCTGTGTATGGTGGGATCTGTTGGCTCGCTGCGCTCGGTCGATAAACACGCACAGATCGTCCTGCAGCAGATGAACAAGCTGAGGCAGCAGCGGGAGTTCTGTGACCTGCAGATCCGAGTCGGCTCCGTCATCTTCTCGGTGCACAAGTTGGTTCTGGGCGGCCAGCAGTCCCTACTTCTCCGCTCTCCTGTCCGGGGGGCTAAAGGAGTCCTCCGATGACGTGGTCCAGATCCAGGAAGTGGAACCCAACAGCTTCCAGCTTCTGCTGGATTTCATCTACTCGGGTAAGTGACCGGACTCTGTGTATGACACCCGGAGGGGGATCCTCCCTGACCACCCCTGTGGTCTGTACACCCGCTGTGCCCATTATGAGGGGTTCCCACCATCTCTGTGCTGAGTTCCCGGGTCTGTACACCTGCTGTGCCCATCATGAGGGGTTCCCACCATCCCTGTGCTGAGTTCCCGGGTC